AAACAAAATAAACAAAATAAACAAAATAAACAAAATAAACAAAATAAACAAAATAAACAAAATAAACAAAATAAACAAATATCAGAAGGGCAGAAAAACAGAAAAAGACCCCAAACTGTCAGGACATGTTTGGGATGAAGTTAGGGGAAATGGGAGAGACCCTTACCCTGTCTTCATTTACCCAAAAATTTGCCCTACTTTGAAAGTAAGTCCTAGGGTCAGGTTCTAAAGAGTTAATGAAACCAGCCAAACACAGAAACGGTTTGTAAATGCAGTTGTATTCTTCCTTCAGCAGGAACTGACCAACAAAGCACAAAGGCAATGAATAAATTTTCAGAGCTGCCACCCTGTGCTTCCCACCACCTTTTATAGCTACATTGGTAATTAAGATAAGCCGCACCCAGCGCCTGCGCACACCCATCACCTTGTGACCCAGAGCGAAAACCACCCGGCAATTAATCATGGATTGTTAGCAGGAATTTCTTCAGTTTGTGTCGGTGGGATGGTGAGCCTTGGCAGCTGGCCCAGTCTTCTCCCCTGAATGGCAGCTCCAGGCCTCTTCGCTGGCCGGAGCTGACACCTACCTTGACTTTTACACATGTAGCTCCTGCACCTACCCCCCCTAAAAAGCCCTAATTAAGATCCTGCCCACTTCAGGGTGCACAGGTCAAAACTAAGCTAGGGTGGGGATGGGGAGGGGTGGAGCTTCCCTACTACTTATCCTGTTTCCCCGAAATTAAGCCCTCCCTGGATAATAAGCCCAATCTGGCTTTTGAGTGTATGTGCTAAAATAATCTCTCCCCCAAAATATTGCAACACAGCAGCAGCCATGAGGTGACCATGCCCTCTATCTCCTGCACCTCAAAAATAATACGACCTCCCCGAAAATAAGGCCAAGTGCTTATTTTGGGGATCAAAAGAAAATAAGACCCTGTCTTATTTTTTGGGAAACATGGAGAGTTGCATCCAGGCCTCCCACACCCCAACACCTGCCTTACCGGACCATTTCGTTGCAGCTGGCAAGGCTTTCCTGAATAGAGCTCCGGATTGATCTGGAGCTCTGCTATTGGCTACAGAAGCCTTTAGAAAACCCTTGCAGGCCTTGGTGGCCACAGAAGAACTTCCTGAAGGCCTCTGACAGTGAAAAGGAAGCNAAAACAGAAAAAGACCCCAAACTGTCAGGACATGTTTGGGATGAAGTTAGGGGAAATGGGAGAGACCCTTACCCTGTCTTCATTTACCCAAAAATATGCCCTACCTCGAAAGTAAGTCAGAAACGCTTTGTAAATGCAGTTTGTATTCTTCCTTCGGCAGGAACTGACCAACAAAGCACTAAGGCAATGAATGAATTGTCAGAGCTGCCATCCTGTGCTTCCCGTCACCTTTTATAGCTACATTGGTAATTAAGATAAGCCACACCCAGCGCCTGCGCACACCCATCACCTTGTGACGCAGAGTGAAAACCACCCGGCAATTAATCATGGATTGGTAGCAGGAATTTCTTCAGTTTGTGTAGGTGGGACGGTGAGTCTTGGCAGCTGGCCCAGTCTTCTCCCCTGAATGGCAGCTCCAGGCCTCTGAGCTGGCTGGAGCTGACACCTAGCTTGACTTTTACACATGTGCTCAATATAAGCCCTACCCCCAAAATAAGCCCTAATTAAGATCCCGCCCACTCCAGGGTGCACGGGTAAAAACTAAGCTAGGGTGGGGATGGGGAGGGGTAGAGCTTCCCTACTACTTATCCTGTTTCCCCTGAAAATAAGCCTTCCCTGGATAATAAGCCCAATCTGGCTTTTGAGTGCATGTGCTAAAATAATCTCTCCCCCAAAATATTGCAACACAGCAGCATCCATGAGGTGACCATGCCCTCTACCTCCTGCACCTCAAAAATAATACGACCTCCCCAAAAATAAGGCCAAGTGCTTATTTTGGGGATCAAAAGAAAATAAGACCCTGTCTTATTTTTGGGGAAACATGGAGAGTTGCATCCAGGCCTCCCACACCCCAACACCTGCCTTGCCGGCTCATTTCGTTGCAGCTGGCAAGGCTTTCCTGAAGGCCTCTGCAGCCGATAATAGAGCTCTGGATTGATCTGGAGCTCTGTTATTGGCTACAGAAGCCTTTAGAAAACCCTTGCAGGCCTTGGTGGCCACAGAAGAACTTCCTGAAGGCCTCTGACAGTGAAAAGGAAGCCGAGGGAGACACATGCAAGTGAGGTGAATCAGTGGATGGCATCCCTTCTCCCGAAAATAAGACCTGATGCCCTTTTTTGATGGCAAAAAAAATATAGAATAGCAGAGTTGGAAGGGACCTTGGAGGTCTTCTAGTCCAACCCCCTGTACAAGCAGGAGACCCTGTATCATTTCAGACAAGTGGCTGTCCAGTCTCTTCTTAATAGCTCCAGAGACGGAGCATTCACAAATTCTGGAGGCTGGCTGTTCCACTGTTTAATTTTCATTGTTAGGAAACTTCTCCTTAAGTCCAGGTCGCTTCTCTTTTCATGGTTTCTTGTCTTGCCTTCTGGTGCTCTGGAAAATTGGTTTGTTTGTTTTTTATGGCAGCCCCTCAAATATTGGAACATTGCTGTCATGTTACCGCTCGTCCTTTCTTAAACCTAATTTGATTTCTTACAAA